AGCGCTGCATGCATGGTTGCATTGAATTCTTGATTCGCATCCATCATGAATTTATGGGATTCCTATCAATAATTTTGGATGTTAAACCTTTTTCTTTGTGGATATCTTTAGGATAATCTCGCGTTCAGCACTACCTCAAGTGTACCAACAATCAGATTTTTGGTGTATTTGCTAGAGATGATTGCACCATTGGGTAATGACGTAATGTTGGCCTTATCAGGGGTGGGATTGCCAGCAGTGCTTATCATGATTGTGAGGGTGAAAAGACAACTAATAAATGATGATGTGACATATGGTGATTTATGGTGAAGTGTGGTCTGGTGAATATGTTGTTTGCATTGTGGTGACATGTATATGGAGACATAGGGGGAAGTGGTGAATGAACATGTTTACTCAGCTGGAATGTTCATCCTATAATCCATCTGGTTACGGCCTTGCTTCCCATGCCTAGGAGCAGCCGTATCCTTGCGTGCGCAAAGGGTGTTTGGTTTCCCTAATAATGAAGATGTGGCCATCTTCAAGAGGCAGAAAAGTTAGCACAAGGTTTGTTGGGCAGCAATCGACTGACAGAATGAAAGGGGTAGCATAGGGTCGCAAGGCCAAATATCTCAATTGCGCCCCATGGGTCGCCACTCGATGTATGCTTCAATGTGCCATAGGCTATTCCAGTGTCCATTGCGTGTGTTTAGCTTCCCTATGGTGAAGTCAAACACAACGTTAACTCTGTCTTTGAAGTAGATGAGTTGAGTTAACTTGTCTAAGCAGCACCCATCAACTATATTTAACTTACAATTATATTCCATTCTATTTGTGGTAAGTTGCATCCCAAACTGGTTGTTGGGCACATTCCTGATGCATGCACAGAGGGCGGGATAGCACTGGAGGGTGAGCACCAATCCAGGCATATCGCTGGTGGGTGTGGCATGGTTTGGCACAACGTGGGGTGTCGATTGGCAGCTATGGAAAGCAAATATTCTACAAGGCGCAAAGGTGGATCGATGGGAGAAGTAGCCGAATGTCAGCGTTGACTGGCAGCGATGGAATGAGCAGATCCTCCCAGGCACGAAGATAGATCGACATGAGAGGGTGGTGAAAGGGAGAGTCGACTGGCAGATATGGAACATGGAGATTCTCCAAGCTGCGAAGGTGGATCGACGGGAGAGGCAACCGAACGACAGCGCCGATTGGCAGCGAGGGAGCAAGCAGTTTCTCCAAGGCAAGAAGGCAAATCGATGGGAGAGGCGAGCTAACGCGTGCCCTAGTCCACAATGGGAATTGGTTTGTGGACAAAAGGCATTAAAGCTCCACACTCACAGGCATCAATGCACAAGCATTTGTTTTTGTTTTATCACCACAAGAACATATGACATACCATTTCGGTGCACCAACTTGAGATGGAATGCAGATGTGAGTGAGTTGGTTTTTGGGTTTAGGGGAATGCGTTGAATAAGTAAGGGCCCTCGGGTCACCGGCTTGAGCTGGAATGCGGATGTGAGTGAGTAGGTTTTTGGGGTTAGGGGAATGCGCTGAACGGGTGACGGCCCCTGGATCACCGGCTTGAGTTGGAATGCAGATGTGAGTGAGTAGGTTTTGGGGTTTCAGGGAATGCGCTGAACGGGTGAGGGCCCTCAGGCCACTGGCTGCAAGTGCAATGTGGATATGAGCAAGTCAACTTGGGTCAATGGAATTTTGGACGAGCAGTCCATTAGACATAAAGTCCTTAGACGACTTGTCTGTTAGACAAGTTGTCTTTCGACGAAATGTCCGGTACCTGCTGTTCCGCCTGGTGGCTTTTTTCACCAGCTTCTTGGCCCCCGCTTCGCGCCATCATCCGCAGACCCTCGACCTAATCGCCCCCGCGCCGCTTAGTACCCCTTTCGGTGCCGCCCACCCTTACACGTCCAGCCGCGTTGCCGTTTACGCGTCCCCCTCACTTCTCCCCAAGAAACCAGCTTGGCAGCGGGGCACGGCGGCTTGAGAGGCGCACGGCGACGCTCCGCCGCCCCGAGGGTGCGGAATACCGTTCGAGGTAAGGCCCCTCCCCTCCCGACAAGTAGGCACCCCATTCCCCGCCGTATCCGAGGAATGCAGGTGCCCGCTCACACTTTCAAGGTATTTATACCCCCCCCCCCTTTTTGAGTCACAGGCGCTCGGGGTGTGTGAGGGCGGAGATGGCGATCGGCCCGCGCGGCTCAGCTCTCCGCGTCCCAGAGCCCGAACGAGGTCGCCTTGGCGCTCGCTAGGCGCTCGTTCCCATGCATCTCGATCCCTCCTTCCGACCTTTCTCACGTGGTTCACCCAAACGGGCGCCGATCGCCGGCCGGCCTCGATTGCCCTCCCAGCGTCGCGTGCCGCCTCGGGCTGGAAGCGCCGTTGGGGGGTGCAGCCCTTCGCCCGCGGTGGGGCGCCGATGCTTTGGACGCCATTCCCTATGTCGCAGCTTGCCCCTTGGTGCCCTGCGGGCCAAATGCCTTGCCTTGAAATGATCGCTGGCCGGTCTGGGTAGGAAGCGGCCCGGCTGGGAAAGCAGCGTGCTCCGCGGCAATGCCCCGTCCGCGCACCCGCCCCCGGGAGGCTGCCGAGCCAATTGAGCGCCGCACCGCGAGTCTCGGCGTCCTGTGGATGAGTCACGGGGTGATGGGGCGGGGTTGATGGAGGGTGGAGAACCGGGATGGAGCCCGGGGAAGGAGGGGGGAGGGCGGGACTGGCCCAGGATTAGTAACGGCGGGTTGACGCATGGGCCTACATGGGGAATGGGTGGCACGTGACCTTTCATGGTGTACAGTACCGCGGGGAGATACGCTGGGCCCGCGTTTGTACGGCCCGGCGGATGTTGCTGGGGGACGTGGCATGTTCTCATGGCACAGGCTGGCGTGGTCACCCTGTGCTCGTTGTTTCCATCCGGGTTCCAAATGGGATCGTCTCAAATTCGCTATCCGGCCCCGGGTTCCGTGCGGGCCATCCTGAAATCGTGGCTTCTCCGGTTCCAAGGGGTCACCCTAAATTCACTGCTTCTCACCGAGTTGCAAAGTGGTCATCCCAAGTTCCCTGTTGCTCCCCCGTTTGCAATGGAATCGCCGCAAACTCGTTGTTTCTTCTCACCCGGTTCCAAGAGGGTCATCCCAAACTCTCCATTCCTCACCTGGTCCCAGAAAGGAATGGCGACTACAGGGGCATCCTGTGGGTTAGCATACACTTGGGGAGGAGGGGCAAAGTCTCCTGCGAGCAAGTCGTTGGAAAGAAAAACGGGGTTTGGTGACGTCGGTGATGAGAGTGCGCCCCTGTTGGGTGATGTGCTGTGCGTTCTTTGGGCTGTGTCTCCACAGTGCCGATCAAGTTGGGAAGAGGAGCGAAAAGTGGAGGCGAGGGAAAGAGTTTCTATTAGTTGGGGACTCTTTTATACAAAGGTTTCGAATTTACAAGGCATGCCCTATCCGTGGCATGTCTGGAGTGTTTGTCCCACTTTTTCTCAGGCACTAAAGGCAACCAATATGTAATAGGGGTGGGGTGGGGTGGGGTTTGGGGTTAAAGAGTGCCAAAGTACTACCCCTATGTTCTCGAAGGGAGAGCGCAATGCGCTGACATGGCCTGCCTCTCAAATCCTGGGTTTAGGACACAGCCGAGTGGCATGTGGCATGATTTAGCAGTGTTCATATTGTGTTTGCAGATATCTGCCTTCGGCTTCCATGTTTGGTGCCCAGAACAGTTGTTGGGGTCACCAGCATAAATAACTGGAAGGTCCCAGCCACAGGACTGGTGGTTCATCTTATTGAAGGTGAGGGACGCTTATTGTCACATACACAGGTGAGACAAATTGCTACAGAACTTGAGTGCAATGGAGCCCATTTCCTGTTCAACCAACTGTTGTGTATCTGAAGAAGCAATTTGAATTCACAGTATTGCAGTGTTAAAGGCAGTGCATCGATTCCCAAAATTTATCGTTTTCACAATGCCAACTGTTGGTCAAGCTGCAATGGTAGCAAAAGGTTTTCGCCCAGCTGCAATATGAGAGCATCAGGCGAATTTTGATTCCTTTTGAAGCTGTGCTTCTGCCACCAGAATTGATGCAGCACTGTGCCCTGTTTGTTTGCCATCGATTGTATACTTTGCTCAAATCCTGGTGCTCAGGGCAGTTGGATTAGGCAGATGGCCATTTTGGATAGAGTAGGGTGCTGGATGCACGATGGCCCATAGTGTCCTGGGTTGAAGTGATTTGAAAAATTCTGTGTTTGGATTCGTGTGACCAGCTGGATAATAATCGCTGTCCAGCTACAGGGTGCCAATCGCAATGCATGCAAGCTGATTAGCCTGAAAAGGTGGATGCAGGCTGAAAGGAATAAAATTATATGCCACCCCGATCGCAGCCTGTCACACCAGATGGCTACGATCCAAAATTTATTTTTCCCCACAACCCTGCCCATCCCCTGCATTACGATGGCATTTTGCCCGAAACCCTATTTCAGTAGTTTGTTTCTGGGGCCCAGGTGTCAGTAACTGTGGTCAAGGGTGGTTGGTTGGGTGGAGAGGGTCAGCACACATACTGGGCAGGTTAGGGCATGCTGCTCCGATCGCATTTGCTGTTGTTAACAAACATTATTACCACCTGCCATTGATGTGACTGGAAGGGTGCTCAATGAATGAATGTAGCAACTGCAGGACACGGATGACAATGCTTGTTGGTCAGGATTCGTTTTTCCTCTGAGCTGGGATCAGAAGAGAGCATCGGGTTTTCTAGCAGCCTAGCAGGATCTCACAATATAGGTTGTCTATGCCTGGCATAGAGAACCTGTGATGGCAATCAGTGCACTGCCCTTTGCTGCATGCATGCTTCCAGTGCAGCCTGGTAGTTAGCAAGTGTCCTTTCAGACAAACTGGCTACTTGAGCTGCAGTACAGCAACAAGATAAGGTCTGAATACACTCATTGCAATCCGATCAGCGCATGGAATGCGACTGTTGAGACTAGTGTCGAATACCGAATGTGGCCAGGGGAGTCCAAAAGATGCGGTCCAGCTCAGATGGGGCACTGGCTACGAGGGCGGAGATGCCCCTTGATGCACGCTTCCTGCAGCTGGTGGGAACCAAGCTGAGGGCTGCTGGGGGAGGCGTGGAGGTGGCAACCTTTCCCAACTCCAGCAGGGACCAGCAGAAACAGGAGCAGCCAACACAGTGGGGATATGATGACCTTGCAAACTCTCCCCCAATCCCAGTCGTGGTGAGCAGTGTTTTGTTGTGACGCAGCATTGAAAGGTCAATAAGTTCACCAGTATTTGGTTGGCATTCTGTGTTGTGTGCTATTCCTGTTGTGTTTGGAGACGTCTGCTCCTGTTGTGCAACATCGAAAGGGTCTCAAACGAATAACCGGACAAGAGGGGGTTGACCCATACCTAGTGTCACCTTCCTGTGACAAGATGCAACAAATGAGCCTCCCTTGCATCTCTCAGCCGGAATCGGCAATTTGCTTGGATATGGGTGCCAGGCAGCCAAAGACTAGCAGCATTGTAGACCAAGGACTGTGTCGTTCAAGACTGCCAGGGGCCTGTGGAATGCAGCTGTTTGTGCATAACCTGATGGTCTGAAATGGAGTGGCCTTGCACCCAGAACCCGATTGTGGGCATCTTTTATAGCCAAGGTTGTGGCAGGGCGCACATGATGCCCTCCATTCTACACTTGCACTGAACGGTGTGTCAGTTGCTGCAGTACATAGCTACACATCTATTCTGTACTCTGTATTTTTGCGTTGCATTGTTTATTGCACACTGGACCCTCACACCTTGGGCTGCCCTTAGGTGTGATGTAAGCTTGGTGGAAGACAGGGGAATGTGTGTTGTCTGTGTACTTAGATATGACTCACAGATATTGTTCTTCCTTGCGGTCACTCAGCTGGCATCATCTGTGTCATCAACAGCCATATGATGACAACTGTGGCCGATGATTCTGAGATTGTTCTACCTTTGCTATGGTGTATTTGGTGTTGTCATACTGTTGCTTATCATGCATATTGTATTCACATTCACTCGGCCATCATTCGATTCAACCATTCTCTTGATAACACAGAAAAGAAAATATGCCTTTTGTGTTGTGTTTAGTTGCATAGGTGTGGATGTGCGCACTGGAAGCCAGATTTTGTTGGATAAAATGGGAAGGGGATCTGGGTGGGTCGTCCGCAAACGATGATCTGCATTGTGACCCACCTAATATCGTCGCCTGCCTATCTTCCCCGGCTGGGGGAGCGCATGCACTGTTGGGAGCACATGCGCTGCTGTTATTGCGTTCTCCCACCATTTTCATTCCAAGCGCTGCGGCTTCGAAAGTGCCATAGTAACCTGATCCCTCACGCCTTGCTGGCCTGCAGTCTGCTCTCCTGCCACGTTCTATTCACCCAATGCTTTCTGACGCGCGATGGACTGGTGTGCCTCCAGACGTCCCAGACCGCGCAGGCCTTCTCTCTGAGCTCGGCACTGAAGGGCCAGTCGGCGTCGAGCGCCAGTATCTACGACAGCTCCGGCACGCAAGATGGGGTCGCGCCCGCCGGCTACTCCATCCCCGCCGTGTCCCAGATGTTCATTCACGCGGTGCAAGATTTGCACACCTCACGGACGTCCGAAGATGACGTCTCGACGCCCAAAAGACGGTCAAGGAGAAGCGCCCCTGTGACGAAAGGAAAGTCGCGGCGAGGCGTGGCGAGTGGGAAACTATCTCGGAGGGCGCCGATTGAGAGACAGCCGCGACCTGCGGCGGTCCCCATGCAGTCGCCATTCATGGCGGCCAACCAATGCGAGGCGCCTGAGACGACGCCCAACAAGAACTCGACGCTGGAGTTCGGGAAGAAGTATTCGGAGCTGAGGGTGAAGGTGAAGCGGTCGTTTCGGAAGCGGGGAACCGACGGCCGTCAGGTGGAGGAGAGGCCGCGCAGGATTGAGGCGACCGACAGCATCGAAGAGACGCTGAGGAGACTTCAGGACCCGCGGCCCCGCGTCCTGGCGAATCGGCCGAAGCCAGTGGAGAAGGTGGGTTTGGGCATGCGGGAGTGCTGGCTGCTGAAAGGTTTGTATGTTGATGAAACGGATGATGCCTGCTCAGCACCTGCAACAGCCCTACTAAGAATGTAGCGTTGTTACTGCACTTCGAAAATCCAGGGCTGCATCGACAATGGAATGGCTGCGCCTTTCCTTTACTGCTTTTGTTCCCAGGATGCACATCGACTACCCAGCAAGAGGGTAATGAGGCTCAGTTATGTGGGAAACTAAACCACTTTGTTCTAATCTATTTTCACATCCATTCACATCGCATCAGCAGCTCGTGCAAGAATTGGATGCATTCAAGGTGCAACTTCAAATACGCAGTGTCATGGCCCCATTTGTGTCATTGCAGCCTGTCGTGTATCTGATTACAAATCTGTGTCTACGATTCCAAGTCATACAGTCATCCTTGTGATGTCCAGATGAGCACTGCCATTCAGCACCATGTATCTCAATAAGAGCACAGGATGTTTTATTCCATTGCTTCGAGGAATGCCCTCCATCGCACTCGTAAATTTGGTATCGTTCTGGACGCAATATCTAACAGGTGAACCCTGACACGTGCTTTGCTGCCTCAACAGAAACGAGCATCGCCGCCTCACACACATCCACAGCCGTCTCCACCGCTACCTCAGGTACCAAAAGTTGCTTTGGCAAGCTCCACAATGCCTGAAATAGCTCCAGCCTCAGCCCCCAAGGTTGTGGAGCCCCCTTCCAAGGATCCCAAAACAGACATGCCTGCTGCCCGACCACGCCACATCCCAGAGTATGAGGAGACTTGCGTGAACGCATTCTGGTGCATGTGGATCGTGGGCTTCATTTTCCCGGTCCTGTGGGTAGGCGGCTCAACAGGAATCTTCTCCAGCTCTCGGTGTGGCTTCATCGCAGGGATGACCAACGTAATAAGCCTGCTGGTGGCCATCATAGTGGTCGTCATCTTTTTTCTGTAACATTTTTGTTGTGCTAACCATGGACGACCACAGACGTTGGCACAGACACCAGCTGCAGCCCGAGAGAACACCACATGCGTGTCGTTCACACATCTGGTGCACAGACAAGATTATTGCTAGAAGTATGGACTCACAGAAATTGAGAGCCGGTGAAGCGTGTCGACTTTGACGAAAATTTAGGATATGCTTGGCCATTGTTTGGTCCAGAGGATTGTCTGTGCAGCCACCTGGTGAGACAAGGGCATGCATGCTGGGGTGTAAGAAGTCCTCATGACAATCCAGCGGTGAGTAGCTCGACACTCTGGTGCTTTGAAGAGGCCTTGATGGGCCTGTGGCAGGGCGATATTCTTATGGGCTGCACACCTTTCGTGATTTCACGTGCTGGAGAACTCTGTGGATTCTTTGATGCTTCTGGGAAGAGAGACATAGATAGCGAAATGTACATTGAGCCAAAGTGTATGTCAAAGATGCCAATCTCGCGTCCATTTTGGTATCGCATGCGGATCGGAGAACGATTCTGGTAGTATGGCAAATACAATTTATCGCTGTGTGCAAGCTGAGGGTTGAGGTGGGTCAGTGGCTGAGCTGACAAGACGACGCAGTTGAGATGAATGTTGGAAGGTTGGGTTTGTGGTGGACTGAAGGGTCTGCGTTTTCGAATGCTGAAAGAGGGGAGTGGGAAGATTCTTCAAGACTAATTCATGGAGGTGTTCCCTCGAGCAACATTCAGGGCAGCTGGCCAGTCGGTTAATACAGGTAAAAAGAATGTTAAATTCACATTTGGCAAGATGGATGTACGTTCTCGAGCATGTAGAGGCGGGGTAGCCGTTGAGCGCCCCTGGTAGTTTCGTTGGAGGTTGACAGCAGCAGGTTTGGCAAATCCCCAAGACGGCGTTTGTCAACATGATCAAGAGTGCGCTTGTACAGGGATTGAAGATTTGTAACTATCAGTTGCCAATTCCAATGATTGTGCCCCTATGCCATGCCTTTACTTCACTGCCAAGGCACCACCGCTCCATCGCCGCAAGTTAAAAATGTTGAAATGTCCAGTCACAATTGGGCGGAGTGTGGCGGATTGTAGGTGTGCAAGCACCACGGCAGGAATCTCGAGTCAGCGGAACGGGCTGTGCGCCGTTGCAGCCATGGGATAGTGTTATTGTAGAAGTAGCGACAAGAAAAGTCCATTTCTGGGGTTGCTTACAGTGTGATCACCAGAGCTGTTATGGTCAGAACCATCATTTCATGGACGCCTGAAATGATACTGAGTGAAATGACAGATGGCAGCAGGCGTTTGAGCTTGCCCCTCAACTGTGCACCACGGCTGTCTTACAAAAGATGCGACAGTTGAAATCAGATTTGTCGTTCATATATATGGATGGTAATCAGGCACAGCTGTGCCCCTCTTTCCGCGGTGCAGAGCGCCAAACATTGCCGTTTGGTTTTGTCTGCAATTAGCGTGTAATTTATGGCTGATGTTTGATTGGCAGGGATGCATCGAAAGGAATGATCTTTGGGCTGAGATGCTCATGCGTTACATACCCCATCCCGCGCCTTTTGGCCTTGTTGCATTGGAACGAGCTCATGGCATATAGTAGCTAGGGGTGCCCCGTTTGCCCATACCTTACAAAACCCACCCATTTCCATGTTTTCCTCGTGGGTGGCACAGAAACCAGCTGGCTAGTGCTGATGTGGCGCGAACAGAACGGAAATGCGCAGGCGCAAAAGCTGACGTGGCATCGAACGGCACCACAGAAGAAAACGAGGCCTTTGCAGAAACTGCATTATCCGAAGGGTGGCACTCAAGTTGGGAACGGATTCACTGACAGCTCAGAGACGTCCACAAATTCCAACGAAAACCAACAAAATTCAACCAAAAATTTGGATTGGATGTTGAAAGATGGCCAGTGCATTTGTGTTGTTGGTCTCTATTTGCTTGTTGCCCATGCTGCTACGCTCTTGTGAGCCTGTGCGCGCCTGTGCGTGCTTGTGTGCGCCAATACTTTGCTTCTATGTGCTTTTCTGCTTTTGAGACTCTCCATGCCGCCACGTCATTCCATAGCTCCTCGTCCAACACCTTAGCCCCGTTTTGCCAAATTTGACAAAGCTGAAGGCCAAACTGCGCCTTTGGCCTTTTCAATTTTTGACAATGGGGAGGGCCATGCATAAAATTTCACGGATCTCAGTGCAGACCGCCGGACAAAATGGAAACAATAGTCTGCCACTGGCAGCAACTGAGGGTGCAAAAAGGCATGGAAAAAGGCCTTGTACATCATTCGTCTGCCAGTGAACGCCCAAGAATCAACGGAAAAAACTATCAAGCTGATGTGGCACAAAAGGCCATGGTGGGCAATGCCCAGAATCGCGACGAAAAAGCACAGACAAAAAAAGGGTTCGGACCCACACACACACTCTCCCCCCTTCCAAAAAAAGTGAGCAAACACAGAAAAAAGCTTAGTGGACACCACTAGTAGTAGCTGATGCCGCTGCCCGGCTGCTGACCAAGTGCATTGGTTGGAAGATATTTTCCGGAGCTTACAAATGTGCGAAATTGATCCTCAGCGGGAACTTCAATCCACCACTGGCGGGTCCATGACACCAAATGCACACAAGGAGGAGCCAAGGCACCGCACAAGCTTTGCAAGGCCTGGCAGTAGCGCGAGTTCCCACGATTTCGCATGCATGAGTTGTTGTTGGCCGTGCTTGCCTCAGGGGCGGCACCAGGGTAATTTTGTCACGCTTAACATCAAATTGATGCTGAGATCACACCCCTCCTCCCCGCCCTTCTCCTGTGCACCAACGCTTATGTCCATTCCACAGCTGATGTCGTGCTTGGCTGCTTGTAGATCGAGACCCTGTCCTTGCGGGCTCAATCCCACGTGCGGTGCAACACCTTTCAAGAAACATATGCATTCCCTCCAGAGGACGCGCACATCACGCAGCAGGAAAGCTCCTAGCAGGGCGCACAATCGCGAGGCACTGAATGCGAAAGATGCGACCCCATAATTCGGCTCTGCCATGTGCGCAGCCATCCAGTGCAACCACACACGATCAAAGGGTGCAATCTGACTTGCATTCGCCACACCAATAGCTCCGTCGGAGGGCTCACCATGGGATAGGCCACAAAGGCTGTCGTGTGAGTTGCAGAGATCGAAGCGCAGGAAAGAATGGCAGCGTGCCTTGCACTGGGCTCTAAGGCCAGAATGGTCGTTACATACCAAGAACCAAGACGTGGTAATCAGCCAGCAGAAACTTGAACTGCTTCAAAGAATTCACCAACTGCATGCTCGAGCCCAAAGAGCAAGAAAGAATCGATCGGATTTCAACGTACCTAAATTATTGCTGCGACGGTATTCCCCGAAATTGGGCCTCACAGTTTTGGTGAAATAGCCAGGGTTGAAGGTGGGGCTGAAGTTGCCCAGGTTTGAAGTTGGAGTTTCCATTGCCACATTGCAGTTCCCGCAATTGGGCGCGTACCCGAGAGAGTGAAAGCAAATGCATGGGCAGATGCAAAAAAATTTCCGTTATTGAAAAAAGCGACTCTGGGTGCGCTCGTCCCAATTTAAGGCCCCCCGCCGCGCCCTGCGCGCCAGCTTTCTCTGTCCTCCCGCGCACTGGTGCCAGAGCAGCCTTGGTGCTTCCGACCGTGGTTGGCGACTGGGCGGCTTGGCGCTTGCGGAGCTCTCGCGCGACATGCGGGCGAACGGCCTGAGGTTCGGGACTGTCCCAGGGGGGCCGCTGGACGTGGTGAGTGCGGGCCGCAGGGACCGCCCGCAGGTCTGTCTCCCAGTTTCCGCGCAGCTCCCAGCCCCAGTCCAGCCACAGGTGGGCCCTGGGGCCCGGGGTCGTACTGGGCACCCTGGACGTCCGCCGCCACACGGACGTCAGTTGGGCTCGGCTTGACTAAAGTCTCCGCCGGCCTGTGTGGGCGCAGGGCGGGGCGGGGAGGGCGACCTCCGCAGCCATCGTACGGAGGGCAATCAACCGCCAGCGTGCACGCGCTGCTGCGCGATGGCTGGCGCGGGCTCCAGGTACAGGCGGGCTGGGCGGCGCGGAGGCCAAGCGGGGCAAACGGGGCGGCGAATGGGGCGATCGGCCGGACTCTCCCAAGGTGAGCGGGGCCGGGAGAATTGTGCCGCGCCGCGCCTTGTCCCTGGGTCCCGGCACCTGTGGTTTTGGCTGTGGATCTTTCTCTGGCCGGCTCGTGCAGAGCGTGTTAGGGGCCTGTGCGTTCTGGCGCGATGGCGCATCCCAGAAAAAGAGGCGGGGCAGTTGGGGCTGGCCGATCTGTGTGACAGATACTGTGCCAGCATGGATGACCTCCTTGCCCCAGCGCGAATCGATGGCTGATTGTCCGTCTACTATCGCGACGGGCATCGGCCCCATTTTCGCTCAGTCGGTGCTGGTTCCGTTTGGAATCCGCTGAAGCGTTGTTCAGGATCGTGGTCCGGCTGGCCATGGGGAACGCTTGGGGGGCGTCGCACCGCGGGTCAGTGGCGTTTCCCGACGCGGGAGGCGCGCTGATGGAGGGTTTAGAGGCGCAGTACCGCTGTGGCGTGCCGCAGCGCAAACCGTGCCGCCTCTTTTTGCAGCCTCCGCGTGTGGTACGCGATGTGTGTGGGAATTCCGCCTGCAACGATTCTGGCCCAGGCAATGGGACAACCTCGAAGTGCGCGTTGTTGTTGTGGCGAACGCTCCCTACTTCCGCTTCACTCTTGCTGTCGGTGGCTCCTACTGCATTGCACGGGGTAAAGGGGACAGAGGAAAGGGGAAGGGGTACAGTTCTTGCCGACGCGCAATGCCCGACGTGTTTTAGTTCCCAACACTTTTCAACGCCCACGAGGCTCCACTGTGTTTTTGAGCGCCGGTGGTGCGCTCTACTTCCTCGGCGGCGCAGTGCTCGTTGCCGCTGTCAGCGCCTCGCTTGAATCCATACTGGCAGCTACGTTTGGCAATCTGCCGTTTGGCATGCCGGGCCCCCTCCTTTCATGTATGTACACTTTTCTGGCCCACCGCTGAGCCGGCGCCGGTCCCAATTTCCTGCAGGTGGCCAGGAGGACGAGCCTGGCTGAGGACCTCCTGGACAGGCTGCGCGCCTCCCAGGCGGTAGCCGATGACTCCGTCGGGGATGAGCCCTTCGAGGACTTCATCATTGGTCGCGCGGCCCTGCGGACCAAGGATGGCTCCTTTGGTACACCCAGTGCTCTGATTTCTTGTGGGCCTGCTGTTCCGAGCCCGCCCGTCCGTGCGGTGGCTGAATTCCTTGCTTTGCTTTTTCCCTCTCATGAGACAAAACACTTGCACCTCCTTTGCCAACAGTGTGAAAAACGACAGGCTCTTCGTTGCATGTGCCCATTTGAGTTAATCAGACAACGCCTGCTTTCCACATTCTGTATGCGGTTTTATATGATGTTGTCCTGTTGCCTGCAAGAGGAACAAAATGCTTGGAGAAGAGTGCACCCCAGCCCCCATGTCGTGGGCGCACATAAAGCAAAACATGATAACATGCAGCAAACCACCCCAAGCGCCCCCCCATGGAAGGAGTAGAGAATCTAAAATTGCCATCAAGAAAATAGAGCAAAACACCCTCGTCTCTTCCCGTTCATTCTGCTGCCCACTCTACTCAACATGAGATTCGTTCGCTCGATGGCTCATTCACTCATTCGCTCGCCCATTCATTTCTATTAATCAGCCACCTACCCTCCCAAACGAAAATCCGATCATGCACCTGTACACTCATTCAAGCACACATTCATTCATTCACTGCACACACCCCATCTGTAGCGCACACAAGGGTGGCTGAAGAACAAGAGAGCAAGGTCGAAAGCGCACTTGCGTCCACAGCAGAGGTAGTGAGTTTGAACACCTCCCACACAACATAATTGTTCGATCTTGATTCTGCAGTTTGCAACCTGTCCTTGATGCCATCCCCAGGAAACTTTTTGCCCTGTGACACATGCTGCTCTCATGCCTATGTTGCAGTGGGCGAGATCAGCGGTATCATGGCCAATAGGCCGCAGGGTGCTGGCTGGGAAGGGCCTTTCGAGCAAGCTCCCAAGGGGACACTGGCACCAGCAAAGGCAATAGGCGCCCCTGCAAGTGCTCAGCCAAGTGCTGAGGAGAGAGCACTGTACGACCGCTTCATGGAGCACATGAACCCAATGGCCTCTTACCAGGGGGAAGCCCTCCAGACCCCGCCTCCCAAGCGCCATCTCAGGTGGAATGTTCCCATGGTGCCCGTGGCCGAGGCTGACAGGATAGGACAGCTGTCGTGCTGGCAAATGGCAAGGCAGGAGGCTCCTGTCCAGGAACCAGTGACGCTCGCACCAGCTGTGAGCGTGGCAGCTGCAGCCACACTGGATCTGGCACCTGCTGCCATGGTTGAAGATATCCAGACGCCCAAGCTGCTGGCCCCAATGCAGTCCCGGGCCTGTGGTGCTACAGAACCCCGGCAGGCCCTCCAGCTGGGCAAGTGCAACTTGCACAGCCCCGGCGTGCCTCCAAGTGTGCTGGAGGATGTGGACATGGGAGAGACGCTGACACTCCGCCCAAGGGTGCAGGCCGATGAGGGGCAAAGGACACCCAGTTTGATGCAGAACACCTCTGCACCACCAGTGCAGAAGCGCCATGCCTGGGGTGGCAGCTCCAATGTTGTTCAGGGACAGCTTGGTTTCCCCAACTGGATGGCTGTGGTTGGGCACCTGGCGGCGGATGATTGTCCGTACAGGAATGCATTTTAGGCTGGGCTAGGTTTTGTCTTGGGGGGTGGGGGGGTGGGCTGGGGTATTGGGGTGACGATCAGGTCACAGTGAAGAACTAGGTGGTAAAAAAAAAGAAAAAAAAATAAATATTTTTTCCTTTTAGGAAGTGAAGGGGGGGTTTGTCTTGGGTGTACATGCGTCTCTAGTGGGGTAGGTTGGGCAATTATATATATACATTAAAAAAAAAAAAAACGTAGTTCTGGGTGCGTGACCTGTCCAGGAGCTGGCTGGGAGGCGACAGCACAAAGAAAGCAGCCAGTGTTGCTCCTGTTGTGGGCAGCCCAGCAGCCAGGGGCCTGGCCTGGCATGGGTTGGCAGATGGCAAGGACGGCATGCAGCTTGGGCCAAGCGCCCACGATGGACACAGCCGTTCTAACATACACTGCCTTTGCAAGGCGGGTCACCTGGCTGCCCCGCACCATGCACAATTGGGAGCCACCCCTCCATCGCGGCCAGCTGTGGAGAGGTGGCAGGGATTTAATCCGTTGGTGAAGGAGTGTGTTGAGGGGAAGGAGATAGGGGACCAGCTGTATGTGCACAATCGCTTCAGCGATGATGCAGCTTGTAAAGGGGAAGCCACCCCTCAATGTCTCATGCTGCAGTGCAGCATCATCAGCTGTGGAGGGGTAGCAGAAAATGTTTCTCAGTCAAGGAGTGTGCAGAAGGAGGGAGAGAGGAGGACTGTGGCAGGCGCACAACCATTCCTATCAGCGTCGCCACAGTCCTAAATAGAGAAGCCACACCTCCTTCCCAGACATTGCAGTGCATCATCAAGAGCTTTGGAGGGGTGGCAAGAATGGAATTCGATGGTCAAGGAACAGGCGCAAGGAGGGAGAGAGGAGGACTGGGGCGGGCTCACAACCATTTCCTATCAGCATCGCCACAGTCTAAAATGGAGAAGCCACACCTCCTTCCCAAGCATTTCAGCGCATCATCGCCAGCTTTGGAGGGGTGTCGAGAATTGAATTCGATGGTCAAGGAGCAGGCGCAATATGGGGAGAGAAGGACTGGGGTGAACGCACAACCATATCCTATCAGCGTCACCACAGTCTGAATGGACAAGCCACACCTCCTTACCATATACTGCAGGGCGTCGTCGTGAGCTGTGGAGGGGTGGCAGGGATTAATGGGACGCTGGACGACTGGCTGGACGTGGAAGAAGAGGGCTGTGGCTGGTGTACTGTGCTGTGTTGTCCGTTGATGATAAAGGACGGCTCGCAGTCGTTCTGCAGTGTGCTTGGCAACGGCGTCAGGGCGCCATGCCCATGCCAAAAAAAGGTGAGGCAAACTCCCGGGCTGCTCCTTTTTCAATGCAATCGCTATTTCGAACTCAAGGATTCCATATCTTCAAGAACGTTGAGCTTCTTGACGTTTTAGACTACCCATTCCCCTCTTGGGGTACCACAAAGTGCCCTCCTTGGCTCGATCGCTCCATTATTTTACAGATGCGGACATGGCAGCCGTTTCTCATCTCACATGTACATGTCTACGTACGCAGGCCTGCCAAGGACGATACGACAACACAAGAAGACTTCAATTTCATCCATGGTTGAGAAGCGCATGGTCTGTTGCACCCCGGGCAGCCCTGAGCAGATTCGGCATTAAAAGATGAGGAGGACGATGAGTTTCTGGGCCCGGTAGCCCTGGAGGATGCTGAGCCCTGGGACCTCCTCATGAATATCGACCAGGTGAGTCCCTGACAAGCGACACACTTGTGTACGGCATACCGTTGTCTGAGTTTCTGCAGAGAAGCGAATCGCACAGAGCTCATGTAGCGGAGATGTGGCATTGTTAACATTTCTCAGGCGCTCAAATGAGTTTGGGAGACAGTGAATGGGAGCAGCGGCACATGACGTGCGGAGTCTGAGGTTCAGATGCAGCTCACATGGACGTACATTCCGTTTTCTGTTGGCTGATACCCTGATGATCTTGCGCAGGGTAAAGCAGGGTGGCCCCAACACGACCACACAGGCCGTATGCGCACCGCCCACAACCATCGGGCGTGATCAGACGTCGACGCCCACAGTTCGTCCACTGAGCGAGTGCAGCAGCCAGGAGCTTGAGCACGCCCAGCACCAGTCTATGGAGCGCACGCCTTCTTGCGCCGTGTGTGAAACACAGCGGTGTTCGACGCCCCACCCTTCCGCTCCTCCAAGAGGCCCTGCCTTCTGCAAAAGCACGTCAATGAGGACAAGGTCTACCCAGCAAAGGTTCATGCGTCAGGTTGACGATTTGGATAATTCCGCCTGCCTGGGGGCGTCACACCCAGAGCCGTGAGCCCCCCTCGAGTTTAGGACTTAGGGCACCCTGGGACAGCCTGGTCCCCGCAATCTGCACACCGTACAGTCGACTTGATGCAGGCTCTCGACAGGAGCCTCGAGGTGGTGCCTTTCCCAATTTAAGAAGGCCCAGGGCGGGCGTCGTGGGTTGGAAGGACGGGCCGTCAAATGCGCTGCCAGCGTTCCTGTGTCTGGCGCGCGTGGCAGTCCCGCACAGTGGCGGAGCGCCAATAGGCGCGATGAAGCCAAATTTTGTTGTTGGACGAGGCGTACGCAATGGAGATGGCCCAGGGTGGACGTCAGCGGGTTGGTCGGACGGACCGCCAAGAGTGCTGCCGACAACATGTGTCAGGCGCGCGTGGTGGTCCCGCACAGTGGCGGAGCGCCAATAGGCGCGATGAAGCCAAGTTTCGTTGTTGGACGAGGCGTACGAAGTGGGGGTGGAAGGTGCAGTACCTGGGAAGTTGATGGAACGCCGAGAAGCAGCATACGTCAGCCTATCAAAAGCGTCGGACATGACTGAGAGTCACTGCGACACTGCCGGAGTCCATGAAGGCCATCGCCACAGTTTTGTCTGCTTGGGGGTCTTGCAGCCAGAGCTGTGAACCTCCCTTCGAGGAGGGGATTTGGGGTGCAGCCCTACTCCCCGCATTCTGCACGCCGGCGATCGAGACTGGGCACATGTGTCCGAGCACGTGCCTGCATGGGCTCTCGCCGCCAGCTTCGAGGTGGTGCCTTTCTCATCTCGAGAGGGCCCAGAGTGGACGTCATCCGTTGGTCGGACGGACCGCCAAGAGTGCTGCCGACAACATGTGTCAGGCGCGCGTGGCGGTCCCGCACAGTGGCGGAGCGCCAATGGGCGCAATGATGCCCAATCGCCCTCTAGCAGCACGCTGGATTTGACTATTCTCCCAGCAGCCATGGAGACAAAGGATGCAAGCCTTGGGTTTGTGCCGTTTCAGACGACAGTGGATCAGAACAGAAAGGAACGAGGCCGCCTAAAGACAACACGTGGCACAGCTCCGCCTCCGCTAGCTAGATACCCCGGAGGCGGACAGCTGGCGTTCCTTAATTTCGAGAGGCGCCGCTCACAGTTCTGAACCCAAGGCATCTTCATTTCCATGGCGTGCGCGGGGATGTCTGACGTTTGACGTCGTGATGGATTGGATGTGCGATGTGGTTGGCCACTAAGGAAGGCGAGGGACAGACTGACTTCTTGGGCCTAGCGGAAAACGGGGTTTCAAGCAAATAGACGCGCACCATGATGAGCAGCAAATAGACGCGCACCATGATGAGCTTCACGACATCAAGGCGTTTGGCCTACTGAGGTGCAAGGGTTGTTCGGCGCTGGCTGTTGCTTCGTTTCGCGAACATCTCCTTTTGGAGTATTTGTATTGGTGTGACACCTGGGTCGTCAAGCACTTTGCGCATGGGGGCTTTAAGCAGGGGCATGTTTGTGCAGGAGCGGGCATCTTTTCTTCCACTCTCAAGTGACAATGCGGCCTTGACCGCAGGCTCAACAGCCAAGGAGGCCATTCGATGCCATGTGCGTGGCTGATAGCCGTAGGGATCCAACCACACGTGTGATGCACAGACTGGCCTGGAGCCACCGAAACTCGATTGGCTTCTAAAATTATACACCAACGAAATGAGCTGCTGCTGTGCCTGTGGGTACACATACAGGCAGTATGCTACAATTCCAGTACTTGTGCCCGGTAGATTACCAACACGGGAAGAAACACGGTGTTTCAGTATTCGCATGCATGTGCACAATTCTCCTATTCTGTCCAACAAGACGTTTGGAGATTGTCATGTTAGGAAGAAAAACCCCCGGCGTTTTGGGATATTCTCATTGGTCCCTGCCTAATAGTCCGATCGCGTCGCCCACACATGCCGCATATCTGCAACAAGCAACGCTGGTGGTCTTTCCTGAGCATCGCTGCTCCCCTCCATCAACGACTGCCTCCCAGTGCAAATTATCTGAGGAAGGCCATATCACCCACACCTCGCTAAACTCTCAACTCCTTGCCCAGATTTCAGAAGCGAACGGTGTGCCTCCCCAAACTCTTGAGAAAGCCTTAGCTCTTAGCGCGCCCAGACCTCGCGCAAAAATTTCCATTGCCTGTTGCGCGCAGCTACATAAACGTCTTTACCCTGTCCTACCGCCATGAATCTCAGTTGGCGGAAGCACGCAGCACCAGTAGCACACGTTCCCGTCACAATTCCTCCTTTTTTAGTGGCGCCTTCATTATTGTCGTCAACCTTGATATTGGATTCAGCGCAAGTGCTATGTCTCCGGGCGGAATGGCCGCAGATTTTACGATGCACCTGCCGGGTTGAATATCTGTCGGCATGGCGTTCTATACCTGTACATTTGCACATGAATGCACCAGTCAACACGTTGCCAGCACCGCCCAGCGTAGATCAACCAAGTTCGCTGTGCTGAGGCCGATCGGGGGCGAGCGCTTCGCAGCCTGCGATGTTTGCTGCAGAATCCCGGAGCTGCTGCGATCCATCTGGGAAAAACGTATTCGTTGATGCAATGTTGCGGCTGCACTGCCATTGAAGCAATGCCCAGCAACGCTTTAGGAAATGCCCACATATCAATATTCCCACATATTGATGCATGTGTCAGCACTGAACCAATGCTGGTATATTGGCCTTGCTGCAGAACAACTCGGCGACGCATCGACGATACTG